CCATGATACTCTGATTATCCTGGAGGCTACGCGACAATTGCACCATTTTGTCACAACAGAAGGAAAAGTCAATTTGAAGGGGGGCTGCCATGGGCTTGTAATTGGGGAATCCACCCATGGGCTGGTCCTAAAATAGCTAACAGTGAGGTGGAAATTACATCTGCTCATGTTCTCTGTACAGGCCCGGCGATGAAGATGTTATTAAAGTATAAAATATTATTCCGTTGAAAACAGTAATCATCTTCCAGGAAAACACTTTTAAATAGTCTTTTTTTAAATGTCACGCATTTCGATTCAAAACGAGAGCTATATACGTGACCGTGAAATAACGTGAGCAATATTGTGCATTTTTTTGAAATAGCAGGCCTATGACAGACACAATGCACAAATCAACACTTTTTTGACATTGTAGCTATTTCTTTAAACTCGCTTGAATAAAGATACATGGGGTCAAGTCAGCTAAAAACAAAAAAAGTTTTAGAGACTTTTTGTCGCACTGTAACGAGTCTGATTTACGTGGCCCCTCGACTTGAAGCCATAGCAACCGCAGACAAAGACCGGAGGAGGTTTACTGGGGTTTGTCCTTTGATCTGTCTCCATTTCAAATAAAGAGTCAGCTCAAAGTCTGCGCTTATTCAGAGAGAACTATCCTTCACTCAAGCACACATTCAGTAGGCTACTCTGGCAAAACGTTAAGCTTACCACATGTGAATTAACTTTTTAACAGGTTATACTTATAAAGGACCATAATTAAATATGCATAAAATATGGAGCATTAGGAAATACGCAACATAAATAAAAATTACGCTTTCTTTCAAAAGCATCTTACAGACATTTGAAACGTATAAAAAGAAACAATGTATTAAATGTCGGCTATAAAATGAACAGAGGAAAAACACAATAAAAAGGTCAGCGTCTGTGTAACATCCTCATTCACGCACAGCCTCCTAAGGTAATAACGCGGAGTATTCAGTAAGTGAATAGGCCTACCCTCAAATACAATAATGTGTTGTGTTAATAATTTCCATTAGGCAAAGGCGCAAGTTTTTGAATGTTTCTCAAATGTCACCAAAAGCTAGGTATTAATGACGCATCTGCATCTATTTGCCACAGTGGCCTATATTTGAAGTTATTATCTGGCAATGTTATCAAGCAAATTCAAAAGTCACATTAACCTACCTGCAATAAATAAATAAATAAATAAAAATAATCGCCAGACATTTTACAACATTACTATTCAGTTCAATTTCACTCATTATACCCCCACTGCCAATAAATTCAATTTCATTTCAATTACACATTATTTCCAAAATTCTTCCTGCTTTGCTCTTGTTGTAAACGATTCGTTTTATTGCAGGGGAATTATCTTTGTGGAAATGAGTTTGTTATATTGTCTAGTAAAAGAATTAAGTCATTATTGGGAGATCCCTTGGCGAGAAATTAGGCGAGCAAAATCCTCCCTGCCACACGGGTCCCATTGAGATTAATGAAAAATATGTAAAACATTTCCTTTTAATTTTCCTCTGAAAGCACTTTGCATACATGCGTTTTCTCTGCTGGGTTGATATCAGATAATTTATGAGAGCAATCTCAGCACATAACCATCAGGACTGTGTTTCAAGCCTAATTGAGTGCTGTCAAGATTAGGTAAGGTCCTATTCGTGTTAATTGTATTGTACTCTCTTTGGGAATACTAGTAAATGTATTTAAATAATTCCGCATTGTGAGCTGAAAAGATTATGTCAACTTACAGGCATAATAGAAATGTCATGAAAAATGACAAAGAAGTGGGAGGAAGTAGTATTTCGCAGAACTATGAGTCCGCAAATCCTTTAAACCCTGAATCATTGTCTACACAGAGCAGTTACAAGCTAATTAATCAAATAAATGGTGCACTGATCAGAGGATTAATTCTACTGCTAAATGTAATTTCCCGTTATAACAAATATCACATACTTCTATTACAAACATAAATGACAATAAAAGGCACAAAACCCCATCAGCCAAAAAAACAGAAAAAAAAAAAAAAAAAAAAAAGAGCTAGTTTCAAATTAATTTCATATCAATCAACAGTCATATTTCACACAAGACACATACGTTTCAGAGATCATCATAGGAGCTCTTGTGTTTTGGCTGGGTGGTATTAAAGGGATGGTTCACACAAAGATTTTAATTCTGTCATTTACTCAACCTCCAACCCTGTATAGATGTATTTCTTCTGCAAAACAATAATTCTAAAAAAAAAGAAAAGAAAAAGAAAAAACATTTTTTTTTCTCAGAACGTTTCAGCCTTTTTTCATATCGTTGAAGTAAATGTGGTCTAAAAACATTATATGGACAGCAAAGACAGTAAATTTTGATCCTTTTCAAAATTTGATGAAAGGATATACATTTTGGGTGTAATGCTAATATCAATACTAATTCATATCTAACATTAGACTAACAAGTTTGTAAATAAATAAATATAATAGTGCTGTCAAATCACATCTAACATAAAAGTTTGCAAATATATCTTACGTTAGATGCGATTAATCCAGATTAATCAATTTGACAGCATATATATTTTGTAAAATTGTATAATTTAGATAATTCAACGCAGGACGGCTCTCATCGCATTGGCCTACCAATCCTATGGTCTCAGGATCTGAGTCTTCAGACATGTTTAAAGAGCGCTTAGAGCGAAAGGGCTTGTCTGACACGAGTCCAAAAAGACAATTCCAAAGAAAATGGAAAATAAATGAGTGCAAAAGGCAGAGAGCATGGGGAGGTTGGGGGGGGGGGGGGGGGGGGTTGGAGAGGTGTGGGACGGGTGCCAGGCCGTCAGCTTACTGTCGAGCCCTTTGGGCCACTCACAGCAGCGGCTTCCATATTTTTGTTTGTGTCCCCAGGCTGGCACGGATCTCAGGCCGAGTCGCTTGCTACAGACACTATTGATCACGCCATATTCAGTTGTGCTTTATGCAGAGGCCTTTATTACCATAGTGACCAACTGAACCATCAACCATTCCCCCCACCCCCATTCCAGACAAATCCGCCCTAGACATTTCTGCCAAATATCTCATCAGCTCGTGGGAGACCAGCAGGAAGGAGCGGGAACATAGCGTACTGTAGGACGTATTCATGACAAACACGACATAAACAATAACAACGCCCTCAAGGGTGGAAAGGATGGTCATTCATTGGGAAAGTTTTATTTCAAAAGATGCATTCTTGTCAAAGTGAAAGTGAGGAACACTGGTGAAACAGACAACGGCGGCACATCGTGGCCATGTTCATGGTGACTCCGATGGAGCCACTGACCGGGTAACAAATCCATAGAAAACTGCTGATATTTACATAGAGGGATTCCTCGCAGAGCTCTTTGTGTACGTGTTTGCGAGCGTGTGGCACGCTGCGTAGAGCTTACGCCAGGCCGCAGACACATTCAAGCCTCGTCTCGAAGAACAAAATGACTTGCTGAGTTGCTGAGAAACAAAGGCCTACGATTTAGAGCGGATCTCATTCTCCCGATGTTGGTTTTAGTATATTCATGGCGGCTTCTTGGCAAATAGCGCTTTGATGTTCCGGGGGCCCGGAGGAGCCTTCAGGCTGAATGGAAGCTCAACGACAGGGCAGCTCTGTTTGTTTGCCCTTTCGCTGGGCACGCACAACCTTTACCCCGGTCAATCGTCTACCCTGACACGAGACGTGCAAGGGGCGAACATGACACACACAAACGCTAAATAATGCCGAAACTGGTCATGCGACAGGAATTGCAGAAGACGAAATAATCAATCAATTACTAATCAAGTGTCACATAGCACATCATCTCTGTTACTGGTTAAACAATGCACAGATCATTTCAGCTGTTGACGCGAAGTGCACGGCACTGCCAGCATGGTGCAGAGTTTGATGTCTGAGGAACCCAGATTTGGCATTATTTTCCCTGAACAGTTGAAGCCATTGTGACAATGTTCTGAGCCTGCTTCAGAGATGGCATGTCAATCATACTGCCATGAAAGGTGAAAGCCCCCTGAGGAGAGGAGAAAAGAACACTGGTTGAATAAAAATAAAGGTAGATCTTGTCTTGAAGAACATATCCTGCTACGCAGCTTTAATGCAATGCATATGCAACACAGCAAAGAAGGATATGATGGTTAGAGAGTATATATATATATATATATATATCAAAGGAAAGATTTTTTAAATGCTTGTGTTAACGGTGTTTATTGTAGCGAATGAGTAACTTACTGTTCGCTTTCAAGCCAGTGTTTCATTCAAGATGGTTGGGAATTTAAAAGTACTAAAAATACTAAGAGCATTAGAATGAAAATGGAGATATTCTTGACAGCTGCAGGAATTAGAGCTGGAAGTCTTTTATTTGCATGCCAGATACTCCTATTCACTCCACCACTGGACTGAGAAGGATATTTCAATCAGTCTACTCGTTCACAACCTCTTAAGAAGAAAGAGTTTCAGTAATTACATGACATATGCATCCAAAGAAACTAAATCTGCAGTTAAGCTGCATCCTAAATGTAATGTTATGCTGATGGAGTCTAAAAATCATTTGTTGAGAGGCAGTAAAACCTCAGGTGGGTATTTTGCAAACGTTTTCTGTAACAAATCTGCAAGGAGATTGAATAGGGCACAGACAAAAAATAAAAAAATACAGGAAAACACAAAATAAATAGAGCAACTGTGTCCCGGAATCTCAGTTTGTGAGCAAAGAGCCGGATGGGGAGAGTGCTGCTGATGCACCCCCAGGCCATCCTTAGCGTAAGAATTACTGGCAGATTGTACATTACTAGCACATCTCAGACACGCGCAGCCCTACCGAGCAGAAAACGCAGGACTCAATGATGCACTAAATTAGGAACTATAATATTCAACACCTCATTTGATTTTCTCAGACAAAAGCTACAATGCTGCATGCACCGTGGAGGATATCTTGATGCTATATCAGGCTGGAAAATAATACAGATCTCTGTGTGGAAACTACAGGACTAGTAAATGCGCACCTTTCCCAAATTCTGATGCTCCTCGAATGCAGCGATCAGCTCCGTGGCCCACTTGATTCTCTCTGGACTGGGGGCAAATTCCTCTTGAACGGCCTTGATCTGGTTGGGGTGAATCACTTGTTTTCCTAAGTGCAAAAAAAAAAAAAAAAAAAAAAAAAAAGAAAACAAGTAAGTCACTAACAACATAAACAGTAAATAAATATCATAAAGCATATAGAGAATAACATATTTAATGTCTCAAAATGAATGAATGAATGAATGATTTAAAATAAAATTGATAACATAACAAATTATTAATATTAATTATTTTTTTTCTAATTTCTTTAACCACCTATAGTAATGTACATACCAATTCATTCCACAAACAAAAGTGTCCAATAATAAGAGAGTACTATAGATGTCAGCCCACATGTAGAGGTCTAAAACTTTTACTTTTTAAACTTTACTTTTACAGCCCACTCACATACAGGAAGTGGTACTATTCTGTAAAAATAGAAGGGAAAAAAACAAAAAAACGAAACATCATCTAGTATTATTTCTCCGCATTTAAAGGGCTTTGGCTTAGTGGGAGCAAAGGCATTGGTGGGTATTTTCTCCTCTCCCTCCAGTGCAGCTCCCTGACCAAGAATGAATTTAAGGGACACAGCAGGGAGAGAGGATGCTATGAATTATGGGTGTCATCCCGATTTTTGCCTTGTGCCCCACTGAACTCTGAAACTTTACTGCACGCTTAGTTACACTTCAATCTGAGGAAGCCTCTGAGAGACACTTCACTTGCTGTTTTTGTTACAGGCCTGTGTGAAAGCGACAACAACACACAGTCACCTGAACACACTTCACGCATACACACTACACATAGACATACATGTAAAGGACAGCAGCGTCAGCTACGTGTGTTAATGATTAACGCTGGGGTGAAAAATTGGAGGCGACTACAACAGATGACCATGAAATGATCCATAATGTCCATGAACATACTAAATCTAGCCTACCTCTAAAAAACACAAGCTTTGTGAGCATCTAATCAATTGAAATCATTTCTTTCTTTTTGGTTTTAAAATTAAATTTTTTATTTTTTTAAAATGTCCATAATCAATCAATCAATCAATCAATAAATCAATTTATTTCTGGAGCATGTTAAAAAAATAACATGGATATATACCAACAAGCCATAATAAGTAATATAAGTAAAATAAGCAATAATATAATAATCTGTCTTTTTTGTTCTATTGAATAATTGTATTAATAATAATATTGATGATAATAAATATAATAATGGATTTAGAAAGACCCTTATGTAAATGAAAAATAACAACAACATACAATAATATAATAATAACCAATATTATTATTATAATTATTATTTTTATTTATGTAGGGCCTTTGTAAACCCAAGGTTGCTTCATTGACAATTTGGGTACCATTTTCAAATATACATTTCCTTTTACCCCCTACTTTGCTGCATCGGGTAAGAAGCTAAAACGGATTACGGTCATGGAGGCTGAAACCTTATTCTCAAAAATAACATCTGTCCAGTACTGCACCAAAATAATCAGGGACGTTTTCCCAGATCAAACCTCCAGGTGATGAGACTTCATTTAAAAAAAAAAAATAACTATTAGCTCATCTCTTTAAAACAAATACAGAAAGGTATCTAGCTCACAGCCGTAGAATTTAATACATAAGAAAACCATTAGCTCCATCTGTGGGTCTTTCCCCAGTTAACCCATCTGAAACAGCTTCTGCCATGTGTTATCTATTGAGATCCCACATCATTTAGCACACAATATTACATATTGCAGCATTATGTCAGTCATATGTTAACACGTTCTTGCAACAGCACAGGTGTTACAATCTGCATCTTAACCACATTGCCGAAGCCAAATACTGCAAGGTATGACAATCTGATGATGCAGCTGAGAGTGAACGAGGCGTCAGGTTAGCCAATGACAGCTAAGCATGCACTTTAATGTAAATAAACCAAACCAGCTTGGTGACTGTGTTTTTCTATTTGAGCCAACAGTGCTGCAGAAGGAAGAATCACCAGTGTGTGTGTGTGTGTGTACTGTCCCTCTGCTGCTCTGGAGGAGACGGCCTGTTGGATCAACACCCTAAAGCTGAGGCTCAAGGTCCATGTTTGTGACGCCCATCCCAGAAAAGACTGGCAGGGGGTCGTTCCCTCACATCAACAAAATATGCCCCTTCCCCAGACTGCCACCTGTTCAGGAGCTGTCTGTTCTGAGCCAGCCAGTGACAGAGTGAGCAAGGGGGGCGTGGTGAGCCCTTACGCCGCGCCGCTATTGGCCGGCTGCAGTGCATCATTAATGTTCCCCAATGGCATTTGGCCAATCACAGGGTGCCATCTGTTTTGAGTATGTCTGGTTGGCTTACTACCATTTAGCAGAGTACCACTGTTAGATAATTCTCAAAATCTCACTTAGAAGGACAGAATTTATGAAAAAGCAGAAAAACAACAACAGAAAAGGATAACCGTGAATAAAAAATGAGGAAAATCTTTTTTTTAATGATCTTAAACAATATATAACCTTTTTATACTGTTTCATTTTAGGAGACCAGCAACAACATTCTTATTCATTATACGGCACCATATAAAGACATAGGGGCCAAGTCAATTCACAGGTGGGGAGATCAGGGAAATAATGTTTAGACAATGTGTGTGAAGTAATACATATAAGAGGAAAGGATAGAATTTATGGTAAGACTCATCTTAATTTGTACATTTTTGGCCTTTTTGTTTTGTATCAAATTTAACTGCTTGTCTGTTGCTAAAGATGTGATCATTGTAGTATTTAGCCCAATTATTATTTTCAAAGGAATACATTTACTTAAGAACAAATATATAGAAAAAAGTGTTTCTCATGGTAGATAAAATGGCCGATTAGTTATTTAAAAATATTTTAGATAAATCTGCCAATTTATTTCCAAGAACACGTCGAAGGACATTTTCTGACTAAAATTTTAAAACATTAAAATCAACAACACAAAGCTAAAATTTCCTGATTTAAAATAAATAACTAAAGTGCATTTTAGAAAATAGAAAAAAAAAAGAGTGATTCAACTAACCATTTTTATTAATAAAAACTATTCTGAGACCCCAATTATTGTATTTGCATTAAATATTGTAGAAATAGATATGCTCGAGCTAATTTAATACAAAATAAGAGGAAAACAAAATGGCTAAACTACATTTATCTGCATGCAATCTTAATTGCCTACGGATAAAAACACCCTCACTGACACACACTTCACACTGAGGGTGTAAACTGTAAACAGTGTTTCTGTAGGCCTCCTCACACAGGGACTAGCAGTGGCAAACAGAACGGCGGTGAGCTGAGCGCATGCTACGCGAGGAGCCGTTCCAATTCAGACTCGCGCAAGAGGCAGAAGAGAGTCATCAAACCCGACCCCACCTGTCTAATGACAGGCTGCTGAACAGAGCGCCCGGCTGATGGGCTGCAACATGGCATGATCAACCCGCAGGCTGGCTGCTGGGGAAATACAAACAACCAACCTCGCACTGGCACCCTGATGGACAACCTGGGACACCACAAACCATAAAATAATGATAAAAAAAAGTCAATTCAGTTGGCTCACGTGAATATTTGCTATTTAAATTGTTGTATTGTAACCAGTTTCTGCGAAAATACAAAAATGACTCAAGTAAAAAAATGTACTACACTAGTATCCATGACAATCATCAAGAAAAAATATTAGGCAATCCAAGCAATATTAATTCATTATTATTTTACAGTAATAAAAATATGATGGTAATTTTGGAGAGACTATGGTTATCATGGTAATTTTTTATAATGGTTATAATGCTCTTCAATGAATTGATGAATTCTCCTAAAATATTATAATATTCTATTAGATATTCTATGAATATTACTGATAATAATATTGAATGATGATAAAAATGGTGGCTTAAATTCAATTCAGTGTTAGATGGAATTTTGGATGAATTTCGATGTTTTCAAAAGAAAAACAAGACAGGGGCAAAGTGAATGTTCTTTAGGAGAGGAGTGTGGTGTTCTGGATGAATGGCAGTGCTAGTGTATACAGAGATGTGCATGGAGAACAGTGTGTATTCTGCAAACAGCAATTACATATTCATTAGCGGAGGCTCAGAGGAGGCCTGTGTCTGGCCTCCCGTGGCCAGTTACCCGCTCACCAGGACTCCACACACACACCCGCGCGCACACGCACACACACACACACACACACACACACACACGCCTGGCTGGCTACAAACCCACACATCGCTAAGCTGTGAACATACGTCGGTCTCCCACAAACACACTCGCAAATAACAGATACACATTCACACAGACATAAAAAAATAACATGCACACATGCGCACACTGACAAACACATGCCAGTAACTTTCTTTTTAAAATTTCAAGTACCGTATCTAGGATTTTAAATGCTTGGGTAACAAATAAGATCACCAATGCAATATGGGCAACCTTATAATAATATAAAACAGATCCCACAAAGTGTTGCAGATTTCAAATATAACAACATGCAATAATATAAGATGTAGAGGAACTCAAAGGTGTAGAAAGAGAAATACAACAAACTACACAAAAATACCCACTAATCGCCAGAGGATAAAATATATAGTTTATGAAATGTAATTATTATTTTCATTACGGAATTTTGCAAGTGAAATACAAGTTGTCCTCTATTCATCGCATCCTTTAAAACCTGGATATTATAATGTCAATCACTTCAGCCAATCACTAGTTCTCTTACTTGTTCTGCTCGTGCAACAGAAATGTTTACCAAGTTCTGCCAGTGTATTCTCGATATGCTATTATGCTTATGTCAGTGCATGAATTTTCATTGAAATCCTAAATCATTTGAGAACCAAGACCCCAATAAAGGAGGACCAGGCAAAAATGCAATACAGTAAGTGAACAGAAAAGAAAAATAATGCTGTCAGCGTACCAGTGAAGCCCATGAGTGCGCCCTCTCTGGCCTGCTGCCTCAGCCCTTCCACATCCTGATAGTCGATATAAACAAGGTCGATCGCCTGGAGACCAAACGCTTTGGTGGTAACCACCACTTTCTGCCGAGCGTACAGGAGTTCTCTAGCGTCTTTAGTCCGTGTGGCTCCTAGATCAAAAACATGATTTTTTAAAAATCAAGTATCATATAACAAATAAATATGTGCAGTTTGAAGGGGTATAAATGACATATCACACAATTTTTTACATTAACTTATCATTATTTTTGGTGCTGTCACAAAACAAACCAAAAAAATAACAGAAAAAAATAAAGAGAGAGATGAAAAGATAGCAAACCTATGCTGGCACAAAAGTCATCTGACCCAAAGACAACTCCGTCATGATGAAGACCTGCCTTTGGCCCAAGATCTCGAAGTGCTTCACACACTGCCTTCAAGAGAAAGAGAAAATAAAGAGCAGTGCAAATGTGTGTGTGTGTACTTTGGCACTCAATCAAGTCACAGAGTCAAACGATTTTAATTTTCCACCAATACTCCCTTTATCGCTGTCCATGCCTCTGTTCTTTATATTTGTGTTTGGAAATGGAACTTTATCAGATATTAAAAAAAAAGAAACACACACACACACACACACACAATTAATGGCCCGTCTCTGTCCCTGTGGATGGAGGAATCTAGAAATCTGTGAAGACCGTCCAAGGCTGCAACTAACCCCAGAACCAGGACTAGTGAGAGACAGTCTGGAATGTGATATGACCGTGTCAGGCGCGGAGCAGATGGAATTTCTTGAATGCTTTTGTTGGGTTCCAAATTAATTTCACTTCTTGCTGTGACTCTGCAATATTTCCCTGTCTTGGCTCTGGGATTCCGTCTAGCCAGCACAACAGAGGGTTTGGGGGAGGGGGAAGTAAAATAATCAAAAGAAAAAAGGAACTGCATATTTTATAAGCAGACAAAAAAAAAAAAAAAAACGACTTCGGCCATTTTTTTTTCCTGATAGGCGCAATTTTAATATCTATAACTCAAAATATAAGGTGTTATTTACCTTAAAATTCAGCAGACCCAAAGCAGTTTCCACAAAGGTGACCAAGCGGATGGGTTCCTCAAGCTGTCTGCCTTTTAAGTACCGCTGAAACCTGTCAACAAACTAAAACAAACACACACACAGTCAAAAACAGTTTAAACAGAAGAAATTGTTTAAAAGCCAAGCCTAATTAAATTGAAAAACTTCTGACTCAGGGTTTTGGAGAAAGGAGAAGAATAAAGAGATATGGCTTGACAGGATTCACACAGTCTTTGGACAACTCCTGTTTCACAGGGGTCCTCGAAATATACTACAGGTTCCTGTCTGAATTTACAAAGAAAGGATTGCTGAATATGAAAAGGGAAGGGATGAGATTTGAGCGGTCTGGGAGTGCATTTCATTTCGGTTTTATGCAGAGCCTCGGCTTCCCCCGTCGGACAGACTCGTGAGACTTGCGATGTGTGATACGACACTTCTCCGCGCTATTCATTTTCCCGCTAATATTTGAGCTTACCTAAGAAGGTTTTAAAATGAAGTTTGGTGCTTTGAAGACCAAAGCATTCCGATTTTTTCCAACAGACCAGTTCACAGCTAGCCGTGGACTGCCAGTGGGGTTGCCCAAATTCCAAAATCTATCATCTGGAAACACACAAAAGCTCCCTCTGTCAGATATTTTCTTTTAAAGCCTGTACAAAAATAAAAGGAGGGGGGAAGGGAAGGGAAGAGGAAAAAAAAAAAAAACTCAAAGCAGAAAAGTGTAATTCCCTGTCCCCCCCGTTCCGTCTCTCTTTCACACATTGGGGACAGCAGATTAAAATAACCTCAGGTACGACAAGGCTAGTTTTCCAAATAAAGGCTAAAATATCCCACACACACTTGTTTTATTAGCTCAAAGAATATACCTTCATTGAGGGATTTTTTTCTATTGGGGGAATTTTAATCATCTCCCCATTTAATCTCAGTAGGATAAATCATATCTGAGAGATTTGCATAAATATAAACCATCAAAGACTTTTCATCTTCAAAGGGGTTTTCAAGACCCAATAAGCTTTGTACTGTAATCATCTGAGGTCACAACCCTGCAGGAGTAATGCTGCTATGGCAACATAAAAACGCCAACGGCTTAGCATAATATTCCCCTCGAACGGAGAAAAGGGAGGGAGAGGGTAGGGCTTGCTTGGCGGCCCTTCCATTTCCTCACGGTCTCTTTTATCAGACGGCACACACTGCCCTCTCTGACGGCTCCGTATTTTTGCGCAAAATTATAGCCGCTTGGCAGAGAAATTAAGCGTTTATAGCCCTCAATCAAACGCAAAGCTCTGTGCCGTCACGAGGCGCCATTAGGAAGTCGATGAGTGACGACAAATTACAGGTGTGCTTTTACTGCACTGAATTAATGGAAACGGTCGGCCTCTTCAATATTTACACAGTCTGGGCGTTGAACCGGACTTGTGCAAACGCTAATGCCACTCTCAGGTGACAAGCTTTTCGGGTCGCTTGCGAAAACCCACACTTCTCGACAACAAGTGCCCCATCCACCATGATCCCGATGGAAACGAGGCAGGGATTTTGGGGCGAGGGAGCCGCTAGAGCGAAAAAGGCGGCAAGTGGATAAGTTTCAATTAATTCTCTTCAAAAGAAGGCCAGATTAAATGTTTCCGGCCTGCTGAAGTGCTCATTTCACCGTGTGGTGGTGGTGGTGGTGGAGGGGGAGAATTAGGAGCGGACGGGGAGGGACGGGACTCGAGCTGGTTCCTTTCAGGACTCAGTAGTGTGGAGGCCAAAGAATGCGCACGGCTCCGAATCTGTGGGAGAATTGTCTGTGGACAAAAGGAGGAGGGGGGGAGAGTTACGCCTGTTATAGTCCAATAAGCCTTGTCAGTCAAACAAGCACAGAGAGAGAGGATAGAAAGGGAGAGTAGAAGATTTTCACACAAAAGGAAACAAGTAAGTCCATCTTTTAGCAACAAATCAGTCTGGAGGTTCCTCTGCTCATCTACGTTAAAAAGGGGAAGAAAATAAACAACAGAGGGATTTAGGGTCGGTCGGCCGCCGGGACGAGAAGAAGAGGAGGAGGAGAGAGAGATAATCAGGCTTGTAGTGGTACGACTTTGTGATGTGTGTTGGATTAGATACTCACTGACTGCTCATCAAGAGACACAAACACACACATGAAAAATAGATATTTAATGCTAATTTAAGAGGCGACGATTATTTTATATATATATAAAAAATAAACAGTAAAAAGTACCATTATTAAGCTCTCTCTCTTCAATCCAGAGTAAAACATGTTACAACATTACTGGATTGCTCAAACTAAAAAACAGTTAATTTTGTAAAAGGCATCAAAACGCTGCGGTTTAAAATAGTTATTTTCTTTAACTTGAGAAAGTTGCAGTGCATCCTGATTTCACTCACATAAGCAACCATAGATTCTGCAGTTATTGTTACTAACGTATGCCTAAAATAATGTAAAATAACAATAATTTAAACATTTAAAAATGACAAAAATAATCAGTTGTTGAAAATGTAATGAAAAATGTTTGTCTACCATTGATTGGTCAAACAGGTAGTCCTGCCCCCTAATTCATGCCATTGGTTGAATCAATGTTGCTAAGTCAGACAGCAAAAACAAATAGACCAATAACAGCACAGAACCACTGTCCTTTTAAGAAAGGAATTAAAGGTTTTTTTTTTTTTTTTTTTTTTGAGGATAGTTCTCAAAAACTACAGTGACCAACTGTGGTCAAATTTAGTAAGGAATATGTATGATTATGCATCTAAATTGTTCAGATCTGTGAGACTAAAAAGGGAGAGGGAGAGAAAGAGAAAGATAGAAACATCCTCTCCTTTCATGTTTGTCTCACGCCACTTTCAAAGCAGTGGGCCCATGTCAGGTCAGTGCAACATGACTTCCTCTCCGCTCACAATCTCCCATATCCTGCTGCGGCCATGAGCTCGACCGTGTGCAAAGCATGTGGAGAGCATGTTCTAACCCCCACCACATATGTGTGCACTTTTATAATGCATTCACACACACTGTATTGCTCAATGTGACATGTGTAGGGGTTGTATTGATTTTCGAGTGGCTAAGTGGATAGTGAATAGAAATATAATTGCATAATAATATAAGATAATAATGTAATTGCAATATTAATGCAGTGTATATATATATATATATATATATATATGAAGAGTTCAGATGCAAAAGCCTCTAAATGCCATTTGAAATTTTCTTCTAAAATGACCATTTTTATCAAGCTTGTATATTTAAGTTCAGTAATTTCACTTAAATGACAATTAATAGGTAATCTTCATTGCCATTTAACTGAAATTACTGAACTTTAATATACAAGCTTGATAAAAAATTATCATTTTAGAAGAAAATTTCAAATGGCACTTAGAGGATTTTGCATCTGAACTCTTCAAATATATACAGACACACAAAATGGCAGTGAACAAGAATGAGACAGAGAAGTATGAGCACCTGTCAGCAATTAAAAAGGGAAGAAACAGAGCGGGCCGGGAAATATATGAGCACTAATTAAAACCACTAGTTAAAAACTTCCTGCTTCAAGCCTAAACTAACTGTGAGCAACAGACTAGGGGCCCCCTCCATCTCTCAGCCTCCCTCCTTCTCTTCATCTACCTAGTTAAGACATTGTGGCTTCTTTCAGGTCTTTTCAGTGCTCATGCAGAGTAGCTGAATACTGCAGATTTGGGCTGGGTTGGCTGGTTGGGGGAAATGAGCTGGAGGGATTTGGGGGCTAGTGTATTGGCTGTGCTGGGGGCCTCCTGGGGCCGACTACCAGAGGAAGCCCTGCTTTGATGGACGAACAAACGTCTAGAAGAATCCTCAACACCTCCTGCAACTCACACATGGAGATGATCAGGAGGAATGAGTGTTTTGTGGCTTTTAGACCATGTCTGCTAGCTTTAAGACCTATGTGCTAGTGTCACTGACTGGCCATCTCTATAATAATGAGATCTACAAGTGGCTAATGGCTTTGGCTTTAGCATATTTTTGCATTATATATCAAAGCTCAACATTGCCAGCCTCATGGTAGGTTTATTGAAGAGGCCCTACGCTTCCAGGGGAAAGACGTATTTTGTGACATCTGTCTTGTGAAGCTAGATTTAAAATGTCATGACTTTCTTGAGCTGATGCCAAGATATACAGCCCCATTTCTCCCTGGGCCTGACTACAGAGATCAAGTCCTCTGTACAGCCTAATAGAAAAGATTGTTATTATTGCTTTGAAAAGCCCTGTGGTTTCTTCTTACGCTGTGAGTTCAGAGAGTGTTGTGTTCTATACAAATGATGGAAAATGCAAGAGCACATTAGAGGTATTTTTAGTTTCTCGTTTTTCACTTTAAGCAGGTCATAGTCTTCAATTTGTGGGATAAAATGATCATGAATGTCACATTAACTGTAATCTAACCATAATCACACGGAAACGTCAGTCCTCAATGTACAATTCAATGATGCTAAATGTACCGATTAAAAAAAATGTGGGGAAAAAATGTACTTAAAAAGTTTTTTTAATGCTTTCAAATAAGTCTCTTATGCTCACCAAGGCTGCACTATTTGATCAAAAATACAGTAAAAACAGTAAAATTATGAGATATTATTATAATTTAAAATACCTATTTTAATATATTGTAACATGTATGATTTTCAGTAAAATATTGACTAAAATGTTGCTCTGTTCCTCACACAAATCTGCCATGGTTAAGCTTTTACAATGCTTTTAAGATATATTTTTTTGGCCACTGCACTGTATAGTTCCACAGAAAGTGTATACATATTGAGAAAATGCTCTTTTAGGTCAACTATTAGTTTGAAGTGCTTAAAGAGTCATGATTCACTCACCCACTGCACCTCTCCTGTGTTCTCCACCTTTGGCAGCATGAGAGCTGTGGGCAGCACGTCCGCCTGTAGAATAACCTCCATGTCGGCTTCGGCCAGGCCGCTGGACACAGAGTTCAACCGTACACACTTCTCCGTACGCCCCAGATCCAGATCAGCCAGCATCTTTGGGATGGTTTTTCGAGCTTCCTCCTGTGAAAAAAGGAAAAAAGAAATCACTTGTGCCTTTGTGTCCAAAAGTGCTTACTTCACCACAGCAGATAATAGAGCATATTTCTCAATTCAGGCTGGACCACAAAAACAAAATTTAAGGGTGACTATTTACTATAAACTATTTATGCTCAGCTGGGTCACAACTCAGTGATGTAATTAACACACAATATGACTACAAATAAACACTGGATGGTTATGTTAACCAATCAGACTCTCTATTTGACAAAGAACACAGGCTTGTGGGTATCAAACCTGCAAAAAAAAAAAAAAAAAAGATTGAAAATAGGTTAGGGAGACCTGTTTGCTTTTGTGCTACCGGATGACGATGATTTGTGTTGACCTGATAAACGGGAGGAAATGTCACGTATGAAAAGCTACAAGCAATAAAAATGGCCATTGAAGCGCTTTTAAAAAGACAAAGATGCATCAGTTTGGACGAGCGGATGTTATGTGAATTTACAGGGAAGTGGTGGTTGGCGCCTGGGATTACGGTGCGGAAAAAAAGATCTAGTGAGAGGGATCAACCTCAGCTGATCCACTAAAGGCCATAAAGTGAAAAGCCCTGCACACATGTCTTCCACACAAACACCACAGACACATGCCCAACGGAAGTGGAGGGAGGAAGAATCAAAGTTAAAGCCAAGTTCCAGGGCCTAACTGTGACACAGCAGCACACGCCAGGAGATTTAAACCAGATGCAGCTCAAGAGACTGAATGTAGGTGGGAGGGAAAGGTCCAAAAAGATGAAGTTTCCATTGGTCGGAAAACAGCACTCCGTCCAAAGGGAAATGTGGTCTCAGTTAAACAGGAGGAGGAAACAGTAGCTCAGGAGTTGTCAGGTTAGATCAGAGGAGGGATGAGAAACGTCAAGAGAAAGAGGGGAGGGGGGTTAGCTCAGGGGTTAATTTAACTTGAATAAGAAACTCCTTAGGTTAGGTCATCCTCACACCGTCCACACAACTAAGGTCACCTCTACCCCAAAACGGTTGAACTTTAGCCTATAGACCATAACGACCAAAAACATGGCATTTATATCAAGATTAGAGATAATTCATAAAATGAATTAATTAAATGATAATACTAAATAATTACATTTTAGTATAATAATTACATTTGTATTTAAATAAATAATAATAATAATATTTTTTTAATGTTTTAGTCATCATCCAGGTGTTATGGTGCCAAAAAGAAGAAATAACAAACATTTGCTTTTGCATATCAGTTACAAGACACTTAAACAAAAATAACCATTATACATATTGGTTATTAAAAAAGGGGAAAGATAATCAATCTGTAACCCCATTTTTAGACCGTAAAACTCAGCCTTTTGAACTGGTAATCACAACCGGTCTGGATTCAGACTCCCTTAAACTAGAGCTAAAATAACAATGCTGTCAACCATTTTTATTAGAGTATACAAGCTGTGAAGTCTTCATGACATCTGAAGCATTGCAGATATACTAGCAAAACAGATTAAAACCAAAACACAGTCTAGACACTCGCATGTCTAAACTAACATTGTGGTCCTCAATTTACAGTTTTTGTTGAGAGTTGTTGAACTGCAAAATGAACACAAAAGATTCCTCAATAGGAAGTCGTATGTACGCCTATGGCCTGTAATATATTTGAAGATCACAGTGGTAATATTAGGAGGGCCGACGGATTTATGAAGCCATAACTCAGCGTTCGTAAAGCTGTTCCATGGTGGATCCAGTTTGAGTCCTCCAGTATAATCCAAGACTGATCCAGTGTCTTTGACCACTGTCCTTTGTACTGTATGCCTGGTATCACATTCACTCATAGACAAAAACATGAGGCTTTGAGTAACAAATCAACATCAAAAAGCACCTATATCAAGTCAAAAGATATGAGAGTAGCTAGAGACGGACCAATCAGACTGAAATAACCACTGAATTGTGTAATGCTATATCAAACCTTCATGCCACACGATTCTCTGCTTTTTATCACCACATTTCGCTTTGAACCCATATTCCCGACAGAAAAACATTTGAATTTCTATCAGTAGGAAGGGCTCGCTATTTCATCTCCCCTCACAGTAAATTGACAGAAAGAACATTCTCAGGAAGATCTCGGGCTCCTGAGGGGACCCAGCCATTCCGAGCCGGAATAAAAGTACTTTGAAAGCTGAAATGTCTTACATTAATGGAAGCCCGTCCAACTAGTTGCTTCAAAAGACCCTTCGCCAATCACACAGCATCCCACAGAGTGACCAGGAGAATCGCAGGTTTGAGGGATCTTTGATTCCTTCCATCAAGCCCATCATTAAAGCTCAACACAGTATCATGACAGCATGTCCACAAAACACTCAAAACAAAAGAAAAGACTTTAAAGTTTGTAGAGGCTGACTTCTCTTTTTTTTTTTTAAAGGCCAGATCTTTTACATTTGTAGAGAATTTGGACTCCAACTGTGAGATATGTCAAGAAATGGATCTGCAATTGGATTATTTAGTGTCTAATCAAAGCGCAGGAAAAACGTGTGGTTTGTATGACATTTGAAAGGTATAATGATTTTGTATAGATTTGCATGAAATGAGAGAGGGAGGGACAAAAAGAAACTCAATTTGATATATTTCCATTTAATATTTCTCACTCCAGTCCAATATTTTTTCATCCCAGCTTCTGACGCTTACGATTTCAAAAACCATGTGTAATCTAAGCAAACAATGTCTCACGGACAGTGTCTGACAGGTGACGCACCGGGCATCTGGAGCTCTATTCCAGATGAATGACTAACAGATCCAGCATCTGATTCCGCATTTGTCCGGTTACGCATGAGAGGGAAGCCTGTCCCTCTAGGCTCGCTGCTAGATTCTCTCAGCCGCTCGAAAACCGCCACTTCTCTTCACACTGTGCGGCTGAAGAATGATCTGTTACTACTTCAGAGCACTGCTCCGGCAGCTCACATTTTACTGACTGGTTCTGCCAATCAAAACAGAGGGCTGTAATTTGATAATGAGAGACGGACAATATGTGGACTTTTCTTTAAAACTCAGCGTTTTGTGATACGCTGGGCTGCACTGGACTCCCAGTATTAAGATGATGGAGAGGTTGCGGGACTGAAGCGTTCAGATGGGATTTCAACATCTGCTGTTCAGAGTTAACTGGAGGCTTACTGTTCATGGGCGCTATTTACTTCTGTTACTTTACTTCTACTAGAAGTACTTGAAATGTCTGTCATCATAATCTGATTTTAAGCAACACAATCGACACATTTGATGGCTGTGCCAGTGAAAACTTCAACCTAAACAAATAATGCTTAATGTGCCAACAGTGTAGCCCTGTGATGCAGGATGCATGTGAGAATTTCTTCTGCTTCTGAAGTGCTGAAGGAAAAACATCTAAGATCGTGATGAGAGTGGGAACAGAAGATATTTGTGTCTCTGGGGAAATGACAGAGCTCAGTTTTTTTCAGGGTTTTGTACTGCATCAAAGTTGTATAGGTAGCAACTCTGAGAGAATTATCTAATACTGTTCAAAGACAAACAGAAAACACCATACAGAATTGCAAAGTACAGATCTCTGGAACTTTTCAAAGCTGATATTGATAGTTGCAATCATAAAAGTAGTCATGTAAGCATTTTACACAAATATAGGGCCCAAATTGTTTAACAACAATTGTCTTTTTTTTACAACCCGTATATTTTCACAATCCTGTAACCAAAGTTTTGCATATAATTTAAATCTAATAAAATATGTGTTTGGCACTGTGGGTGGAAGGTTGAGCTTGACAAAGGCAGTCAACACTTCAATGGAATGTACAAAGTAAGAAATTGGAATGATTTTATTTATTTTAAATGTAAATATGTACATTTCTTACAGAATAGAACTCAATTTTACATTTTTATGGAAAATTTATAATCTGGATTTTTTTTTTTTTTTTTAAATGACACTAACCCATCTCTACCTGGCCATGCTCTTTATATTCTCCAGATACAAAGGTGTTCCTTACCCAGTTTCTTCTTGCAATTGCCTGCCGATTATTTGCTAGACACTTATAAAAAAGCAAAGGTCGTATTTTTAAAAAGTGGCATTACATGGAGTACCCAGGGCACATGGAGGGCTGGCAGTAACTAACTAACTTTCAATTTTCTAGCCATTAGACTAGTTCACACCTGCTGCCTGCAGAGCTTTATAACAAAGTCACCTTTCTGTGTCAAGTGTGCCATGTAAAGCAAAGGAGAACTGCAAGCAGCAATGAATGAGCAAAGCGCAAAAAAGGCACAATTTGTAATACAAGCATGGCTAGGAGCTTCAGAGCAACTGCAACAATGTAATCAACAAATAATTAAAGACTTTTAAGCACTTCGGTGTCAATATGCCAAAGTGTTGCAGAGTTACAGTCTCAGAATCAGTTGGCATCATGCCTTTTAATAAAGTTTTGCCAGGAATAGACTGAATATGATTTGAGCCAATGGGCTCTATGCACGGCGGTATTTCCGGTAAAGGATTAAGGATGCTCGATATCTTCGGCCGATCGTAGAGTCCAATGCAGTACCGAGAATCTATTATATAAAATTGAATTTTATACTCCATGGTTATAATAAAGAAACGTTAGTCACAAAAACAGATAAAACAGACACCCCTCGTTGTGTTTATGCTTCTTTTTAAAATTATATTAAATAAACATAACTATATATAAAATTACATCTAAACGTATGTACGTTTCGTTTCAAAGACGGGAGGACAGTAAATTTTGAAGACTCTGCCGTAATCCCGTTTTCCTCGGTTCTCCTCCGCTTAAATCTCCACAACCGGAAATGGACGAGCATCCTTGCGTCAAATGCGGAACTTATGCTTGCATATAGCCCATTGGCTAGTTTTTGATACTGCACTGAATCAAGAGTTATTAGCAAAGATATAAAAATATAAACTAACCATTGGAGATAACAATAACAATAAAAAAAAGCAATTTTATACATCTCCTGACCAGTAAGTGGCGCTGTGCAGAAACATTGCAA